AGGGTACAGTGTGACGCACGAAACCATTTCCGTGGAAGGCTTATGTCCAGAGCACGCTTTGTTTATCTTAGTCCTCAACATTCTTCAGCCAGATTCCTCTGAAGTGATCTGTTATCTGCAGAAATAATGCGGCATCTGCAGTAGGCTGCTGTAAATCCTACATTAAAACTAATGCCTACCCAGACTCTTCACACCGATATCATGGATACAGACCCGTTCAGATTTCTCGCATACATACTATTAGTATTAGATCAGCCCCGCGTGCACTATCTACTTCATCTTCTCAATCATCTGTTTTCAAACGCCGTGCTTACCGACTTGAACATGATCTTTGCTTATACTGCGGTGCTGATGACCATTGGACTGGGGACTGTGATGAAGCTCATGTCGCTGTAGCTCACCTGCCACATCCCAACCTAGCTCGCCTTTAGTTGTCACTGCTAAGCCCCGCACCAAATACAGCTCGAAGTGCTACCATGGACACCCTCTTAGGTCAGCGGTCTCCTAAGGAGGCCTTGAAGGAGGGGGTATTGTCATGGGCTGACCGCTGACCCCATGACACGCACCGCATTGTGTATGCTGCTGTGGTCACGTGGTGAGAGTTCATTATTATGTTAATTAGTACGACAGCCCCTGTACCTAGTTTCTTCCTCCTTCAGCAATTCCACTTCATTCCCTTGTGGCCTTTCGGATGGTTAGCAGTGTAGCTCCGGACAGGAAACTCTAGCCCGTGACAACATGCACCCAAGGGGTTAACCCATATCCGTGCGGATTAGGCATTGTCCACCCATATACATAGGAGTTGGATCAGCACACACCTAGATCCGCCCATTTGCGGATTGGATATGGATTTGCGGATTGGGTCAGACAGTCTATGTACTTAGGAAGAAGGCTGTTCAGGGAGTGTAAATGCAGCCATTCTACCGGTACTAAGGCTCCCTTCGAGCAGCTTAAGGGGTGTGAAATAGCAATGAGTAATGCTATATGTTCGCAAAGGAAAACCAGAATCTACGCGCTCCACATGAGAAACAGCTTCAAAAGAAAAGGTTGTCTAAATGGTAGTTTGGAACTATAGCATTTACTACAGTAAACGCAGGAGTCAGGCTGATGAGGCTAAACCACCAACCGCAGTGTTCTTCTCAACGGAAGATTTTGTGATTCAGTAATAAAAAAGTGATCTGATGGTTCAAAATAGTTCTCTTAATCTTACATGAAGGGTCGCCGCTCGCTTGTGGATTACGTTAGTTGTCAGCTGGCTTGTTACGTGTCAACCAGATTCGGTAAAGGATGTAGGGAAATTCCAGATTCAACATCTGATTCGCAATTTCCCATGATTCTAGTATATTCGAATAGTGGCATTCCTGTCTATTTAATCGTCGACTAGCTAGTAGCTGAATCGAACCAGACCTTCGTCCTTCGCATATCTTATAGGTACGATTACCATAGAAACCGTATTGAGCCGGCTGCCGGACTGGCTCACATTATGTAACATACTCTGGCTCCACGTCTGCCGCGAAGGCAAATGACAGTATGATATTGGTGCCTAATAATGTTTAGAAGGACCTTCCTTTATGTTTTAATTGCATGCGTGCTGTACTGTCGAATATTCTGGTAAGGACATCAGCTTTAAACAAGAAAGGCGCTTTCACTTTCACTAAGTCAGGATCCAGGGAAGTCAACCAAATCTCCAATTAAGTAATTTCCGATATAGTTACATCACGTAACCCCTTACTCGCTACAAAGGAAAGTACCTGACGTTATGTTCCTGGGTCATCGACTCATCTCCGGGTAGCATTAACAGTAGCTACAGAAAGGCGAAGTGGAGCTAAGCTAATATACTTGCATCTCAAGTGCTAAATACCCTGACTGACGCAAGGACAGGGCCGGCATATTCTATGATGAGTAATGAGAGCGAGTGCTGATCAAACACATGTGGTATTTTTCTGTTCTCCCACAATCAAGTGATTGAGTGTCAAACCACTGACTTACCTGGGGGTTATAGGCTTTAATACGACTACGCTGAGTGTATTTCAACAAACATTCCTTCAACAGCAGCTGTGAAGCGTGAGAGGACTGGGAACTGAACCCTACAGTTCATAATTTCCAGCGTCTGGCGGGATGGGGTTCCCAGTTTATGAACTGGACACGAAAGGAGACATAATACTTATTGTCCAAAGCAGCGTATGGGCAGATACACGGCGGCCCCATAAATTGCAGTATGTAAGTCAAGCACGGAGTTCACATAGTGCTGACTGCCTGGGCATGGACGAGCTGCTTCAAAATATTTGCAACACCGAAGGCATATCGGTGAAGAATGGAGGAAAGAGTCCATCAATGGCAGACACGAAAGAAGGTGGACTCTCAGAAACGCTCGCTGTGGGAGATGTGGCAAGTGGAGTGTCACCTACTGCTCTGGAGGTCGCCAGAATTCGCGTCTCATCTAAACATTTGACTCTTGCTTCTCCATACTTTTCAGAGCTGCTTCAGAATTGCTGGCAGAAAGGGAATGACTTTCATATTCCAAGTCCTATTGACTTTCCGGCAGAATATTGTGACCTGGAGACCCTTCTGATAGTGATGAAGATTGTTCATGGACGGCATTGGGCCCTACCAGCAAGACTGGAATTGGTGCAATTGACATGCTTTGCGGTGCTTGTTAATTATTACAGCTGCTTTAAGATTGCGCACATTTTCGCGAATAATTGGATAACATTGTCAGAGCCCACGGTACCCTCAACTTTGTCTGTTGATGCTCTGATGTGGCTGTGCGTCTCATCCGTGTTTTAAAGACATGAGATCTTCCAGAAGGTTGCTGCAATCATACGGTACCACTCTGAAGGCCGTCTGAGTAGCTGGAATTGGCCTATTTCTGGTGCTCTAGGTATGAATTGTGCAAGCAAACCTTATGAACAATGCGAGTCTAACCATGCTCTTATTGAAGACGCAATCGAACAACAGAGGCAGTCTATTATTACTAATGCTATGCGTTCCTTATATACATTGCTTCATGATTTAATACGTGGTCGCAAATGCTGTGAAAGCTCTTGCAATGCACCCTTTGCGGTGGGCTGCTGATAGGCTTGCAGCAAAGAAGTTTGTTGCCACCTAATTTTGCTGCTCCCTTTTCTGGCCGAAGCTTGAAATCACTGCTCGAAGATCTCAAGTCCATTGAAGCACCTGCTCTATACACTAATAAAGACTCCAAGTGTCAGCATGGCTGTAGCTTGCAGCGAGATATCCGACCCATGTGTTATAAAGTTTTGTGCGATCTGGCAAGCTTGAATAGTCCATTTCCTGGCTTATGAAGTGGGGGTTAGTCATATACAGATATACCCATCCGCAAAAACTTCGACTGATTTGATATTTATATCCGCGAAGAAGATGATTGGCATACCATTTACACCAGATTCGCTCCATATTTTTCAGATTAAACTTTTCATTATAGAAGCCAGTATATGTAGTTACTCTTATAACCAGAAGCAACTGGAGTCGGGGTCCTGTAGTCTTTGATTTGTACCAGTCAAGGCAGGGCTGAAGCTTAACTCCATATATGTAGAGTACACTAGCTTGATACTTGAGTAAAGACTAAAATAGTGACCCTAATAGCAGATTTGCCCTTGAGTGAACTGTTATGGGCAGGGCCTGTGAAGTGCTTGAGCTGCTCAACAAGCACTCATGAGGTTGTATTTCCGCACGCAATAACACTGAGCAAGCCACCCACCCAGTCTGAGACTTATGACTACCGCGTACACAATCAGACAAAGTGAAAAAGTAATTACATTACTACATTGTGCTGACTCACACTTCTTAGAACCTTTTCCCTAGATCCATCACCTCTATAGATCTTTAAGCAACTGACGGTATTCAACCTAGCAATATATGACCTAGGGTTGCTGCGCCCTTATACTTTTACCTTTTTTGCAAAGTTAGAATGACTTCATGCATGCTAGATTCAGCTGCATTTCGCTATCTGACGGAGTGCTGTGTTCTATATCTGATTTTGCACCTAGAGTCATGCGCCACCAGATGGATTTTTTTACCGTTCGCAGCATGTATTACCTATTGCCACTACCTCCACAAATATTTAATATTATGGATCATATAGTAGGGATTTAAATAGTCATACAGTAGGGAATCTGGAATCAAATCACCATATAGTAGGGATTCGAATCAATATATAGTAGTGAACTAGGGATTCAAATCGCCATGTACTAGGGATTTGAATCGCCATATAGTAGGGAATCAAAGCATTATATAGTAGGGATATTGAATTATTACCTAGCAGGAGAACCATGAGTTGAAGATATGATATCATGTATAACCATTTAATACTCCGTGGAAATAGGGAAAACTTCTTAGTTTCCTGGTAGGTCTCTCCATCGTATTCCCTAACTATGTTTGGATAATGCATTAAAGCCGTGTTTCACCTATTGTTGACCTATGGGAGGCCTAGTAGTTCTCGTAAGTTATAAGCTCACATGACATTTCCCATAGTGGAGCTGTAGAACTCTCTTTCTAGTCTTTCCAGAAGAGAACAGTAGCGTGAGAGATAAAGCAATGAAGACGCAATTTTCTGACAACCCGATGATGAGGCTGACTTTGGTCATCAATCCATGACCTAAATCAGCCTGGTTGGTTGGACTTCTAGGAACAGGTGTGTAGAGTGGTAGATATGTATCTTATTGAATTATATGACCGCTTGCCCGATTTGGAAGTGATTTGATTCCACCGAGCCGTCCCTTGGCGATAATATTCGGCGGTATTCGCCCAATATTCGGCATATATTCGTTCATTAATAAGCCGAACCCCTGCCTCTAGTGGAAGGCATAAATAGTAGCTAGATAGTCATTCGTTTAGAAGAATGAGACCTTCATTGGTTTTCAATTGGCCATATAAATTACTAGTAGTTGGCGAATTGAACTAGTACTATTGATTTCAACATATCTTCAATCATCTATGCTTGTTATTACGCCATGAAAGCCTCTACATCATTGTTCAATATGGCAATTGCTATTAACAAGATCAGGACATGTAAGAGACACATGATGTGGACACACAATGCATATACTCCTGGTAGTGACAACATGCAGGTTCAGCTTCATAGGACATAACAAGGTCCAAGTATCAACGATTATTGCTCTTCTTCTGGTATGTCAATATTATTCTCTTCTCACTGCATGTGCTAATTGATCAGCTAGTCCTACAAAATGCAGCATCCATCATTATATGTCCCGCGCCCTTAAATAGCAATTGCTAATGATGATAGCTACAACACAAATCCAGTCCTGCACCACCACCGAGGACAAGCGATTCGATCCATTGACAGGCATCCTCCTGTCCGAACTTCTCAAAGTGACCATTTCTTTCGTTTGCATCACCCAAACGGCAGACCCAGAGCGCAATTCCCTTCTTAGCACTCTCAAAATAGGCCACGAAGAAGCCACCCTCCCAGCCCTCCTGTACACCGCTGCATCCTTCGCCCAAAGCATCGGCACCTCGCACCTCGACCTCGTCCCCTATCTCGCCCTCTCCCAAACCAAAATCATCCTCACCCCGCTGCTGGCAACCCTCCTCCTCAACCAAAGGTTCACCCCGCAGCACTGGACCTCCACCGTCACAATGACAGCCGGAATCATCCTCGCGCAGACCGGCGCGTCGCAGCAGACCCAGCACCTAACCACAGCATCCACCAACACTCATTCCCTCCCAGGAGTTCTCGCAATGCTCCTGTCAGGGGCTAGCGTCGCCCTAGGCGGAATCAGCATCGAACGATCCCTCAAACGCTCCGCAACCACAGCCACCTCCGCAACCACCTTCTTCGTCCGCAACGCCCAACTCGCCGCGCACAGTCTCCTCTTCGCTCTCCTCTCATTTCTCTGGAAGTGGCTGTCGAATTGCAAAACCGGCACGGATGTTTCAAGCTTCTTCGGTGGCTTTAGCAGCCTGGTATGGGTATTTGTAGTCTTGCAAGCAGCCGGCGGGTTCCTGGTGGCGTGGTGTGTAGGGGTTACGAGCTCTGTGACGAAGAATTATGCGCAAGGCTTGGGGTTTGCGATTGCGATTTTGGGGCTGTTGGTTGTGGAGCGGAGGGATGTTGATGTGAAGGTGAGTGTGCCTTTAGCATAGTGGTTTGAGAGAGAGGGCATGGGCTGATGGTGTTGTAGCTTTCGTTGGGTGTTGTGCTTGTGCTTGGGGCGGTGGTTGGGTGTTTGTTTACGGGGCAGAGTATCAGGGTCACCAGTTTGGTGGAGAAGAGGGAGGTGAAAGGTGTGGTGTGATATATAATGAGTTATGATGGTGTATTTGGGGACGTGTTTGAATTCTGTATAGGTGGGAGTTGATCAGACAAAGATATGTACGATGATTTGGTTATTGCCTGTCGCGATAGACACATATTAACAACGGTTGTCGTCAATCGTAATTTAGTCGGGTATAATGTCATATAATACCTCTCTATGCAATTAGATATACCATCCCATCCAATCAAATCAGTAAAGTACCAGTGAGCTGAATAGCCAGTACACTCTTACCCATATAGATAGGGTAGCTCCCAGACTGCAGCCCCAACGCCTGCTTCTCAACATCCCAGGTACTCAGATCCTGACAGGTCAAGTCGAAGCTAAAGTGCTTCTTCTTCTTCGGCTTAATAGTCTGCTTGTGGAAGCCGCGGAGCTGTTTAACCGGCCCGCCGGGAATACCAACACACAGCTAGGCGACCTCCGCTGCCTCCACAGCACCAGTGTTGGCGACGGTGCAGTTGACCATCACCACAACATCCTAGAGAGAGGGGATGCGGCCCTCGGCGATCTCAGAGCCGGGCGGCAGGTACTCGGTATTCGCGCCGGGGACAAGCACAACATCGAGGTCGGCGTAGGAGAAGTTGGTGTATGTAAGACCGAATCCAAACTCAAACTAGGGGATGATGTTGTTTGCCTCAAAGGCGCGGTAGTCGATATACACACCCTCGGTGAAGTTATCCTGCGGGTACCAGAGGTTCAGATCGCCCTCGGAAATGAGGGCATTGAGCAGGTTGCCGTAGTCAGATGCTTTCTTACCCACGGTGTAGGGAGACGGCCCGAGGGGGACTATTTGCCGTACATGATCCCGACTAGCGCGCCGCCGGTATCCTGGCGGGGAGGTGAGCGTAGAGAACGGCGGTGATGTTGTCGTTGTCAATCCAGCGGTCGACGAGGCGTATGCGCGTTGTGGATGACAACCATGGTGTTGCTGCATTGGGAGGCGACATGGTTTACTAGCACGTCGGAATAGGGGTTGCCGGGTAAGGGCGATCCCAGCCTTCAGAGACCTGCTCATTGATGAAGACGATGCAGGCCTCGCTGCCGGGGTTGCCGATAGGCTTCTGCGAGGCAAAGTCCCACGCAAAAAAGGTGCCGTCTTTCATGGCCTTGCGCTGGAAGGCGTCAAATGGAGCATCAATATAGGCGGGCGTGGTAGCCCCGGAACCGCCGTTAGTAATCAAGGTGCCATTTAAGGCGACGCCGGGACCCGAATTAAGGGGGTTGTAGCTCGAGAGGAAGATGTCAATTGGAGTAGCAGTGTTGATGGTTGTGCCGTTAGGATACATCAGCATGGGGGCCCATCCCATGGCCCATTGGTCAAAGGTGACGTTGTCCATGGTGTTTCTGGTGGCGGCAACCCCATCATACCCGAAGAGAGAAAGAAGCTTGGGCATGTGCAGTGGTAGAGCGTTGTTGGCGTTTTTTCGCCAGAATGTGGCCTCCCACGGCACTCTGGAAAATGGTGGACCGGGACTTGGGATCGCGAGCATCAGTCAACTTATGAGGTTTTCAGATATCGAGAGGCATTCCGTGTCCTGGGTTCTGCATCTCTGCATACTTATACTAACTGGTGAGGATACGAGTGGCCCATATCGTCCAGACGATTCTGGGGAAGCAAGCCGTTCTTGACAGCCAGAGCAAGGGTACCATTCTCCCAGAAGGGAGAATCGGCCATCACCATGTCCAGACCAGCCTCTGCACCAGCGATCCCAGTGTGCTGGGCAAACCAGTCGGTGACTACGAAACCCTAAAAGCCCAACTCACCCTTGAGCAGGCCATTGAGCGCCTTGCTGTTCTGGCAGCCACAGCTGTTATTGATCCGGTTGTAGCTTCACATGACGGCGCCAGCACCGGCCTTGACAGCGTCCTGGAAGGGAAATCCGCCAAAGAAGACAAAGAAGCATGCTACATGATCAAGAAATGATCTCTTCATATCTGCGCAGGAGGCTGTGAGCGTATTTGGCAATTTGATGTCTAAGTTGATGAGAAGGTTGAGGAGACTATACTGGTGCCTGTCTAGCGCGCTCCATCCACGCTGCGGTGTCTGTTCCTGGACGTGCCAAAAATTGCTGTCACAATAAATATCTGGTCTACTACAATTCACAGCTTGGCTGTGGTTTACGTTAATGTTACTGAGAACCTTCTCCTAAACTACTTAAGCTCCTGGCAGTTAGCCGGCATGTTAGTCTGGGCTTGTGATTGCTGATTTGATGTGAGGCAGTAGTATATTGTAGCACACCCGCTATTTCTAATCCTCGCATGCTTTTAAACTGGTCATTTTTGTATGCTTGAACTGCAGGAAATATGCGATCTTTTGATTGAACCCTCGAGTCTGGGTCAAGCATCCGCAAGATTACACAGTTTGAGGTCTGTCGCCCGGTGTATGTAGTAAGAATGTTGTGTAAACTGGATGTTCCATGGTGTCTTAGCTATGACACACAGTAACGCCTGTTTCCCAATAATCATGTTTGACGCGCCGCTTTAAAGAAGGGAGTGGAGAAAGGTCATATTGGATCCTTTGCAGCCATCAGCAAGGAAAGTCCACTATAATAAGTATTAGGCTGTCGCGTATCTTAGTCTCCGACTTGTATGAACTACTTAGTATTTGTGATGTGGCTTGACATAGTAGCCAAGAAAACAGAGCATCTCTTCAGTAAATATGTATTAGCTAAAAGGCTCTGTGCTAAAGTACATCAAACAACTTGATGAATTTTCGTATTCAAGGTCCTCTTATTTACTTTGCTATTAATAAAGAGTGACAAATACTTATTACATACTAACAATATGAGAATATCATATGATGATGTTACCTTCATGTGCGTGTTTTTGAGGCTATCAAAGTCCTGATGAGAAGCGCCCATCTACCTTCTACTGCCTTCTTACACGCATATCTCGAATAATCCTCTATCAACCTCCCTGACGGTCCGCAGCAAGCCGGCAAGTGTGCTTTGCTAATGAAAACGTTATATGGCCTCAAGCAATCACCCCGTGAATGGTACAAACTTATCCATGATTTCTTACTGTCTATCGGATTCAAACGGACACGTGCAGACCATTCGGTATTCGTCAAACGAGGCATCACCATACTGATCTATGTCGATGACATTCTGATTCTTTCCAAATCCAACGAATTGGTCGACGACTTAATCGAAGATAACGACTTTATTTGCACCGGCCAGATTATGCCCGCACCACCAGCCTTCGTCGAAAGAAGAAATACAGGAATGTCGGTTCGCTCATGGAAAGCATCCAGAATGGACTGACGATCCTCTATATTTGTCCGAGCATCTAATCAAATGAAACCCAGGCGGAGGGTCTCAAGGATATGCTCGAGGATATATCTACAGTTGTTGTTTGATGACAAGATGAGGGGTCTCATTCAACTGTTGATGTTAATTAGTGTGCCAGTGATCAGTCCAGTTAGACATTGTAGGAAGACGACAAGCGCTAACAAGGTACAAGTTTATATCAATACTGGCAGGCTGGTGTTGATAAAGTATAGAGGCATGAGGCAAGCAGCTTAGCAATATCTGGAGTTGTTGTTTGCTGACAATATGAGGAATCTCATTCAACTGATGAGATGTTAATCTTCTAGCAGGAGTCAGTAAACTAAGAACTGTGACACATTTAAGGGTGAGAATGCTTACCTTGCAAAGCTGCAACTTGATGACCGTATTTCGGGGTAAATGTCTGTTTTCATGCTGACTACGCCACCACGGCGTGCCCTAGTATTCTTCCTAAGCTTCTTGATTCTGTGCTGGATAGCATACACAATGCATTCTATGATCCAGTTCAGTTAGCAAAGTCCACCACTGAGTAATCATGCACCCATGATATGATTCGTGGGGATACTGACCGGGTCCCTTGTACTTTGCCAAAGCTTTATAGGCAGGCTTGATGCCGCCGTAGTTAAGATGGCAAGCTCAACAACAAGGGTAAATGCAACCACTCTTTAGCTTTGATATGGTCCTTGATTTCAGAGACATGTCCTCAATATTGCTTGGTCAGAGAGTCAAAGTTAGCACGTAATTGCTGAAGTTTATCTGGCACAGCGCGTGCGCCCTCTAGGTGCTCTGCGAGAGCAGCTTGACTCGCCCACAGTGCGACGTTAGCGCGGCGACTATCGGAGGCGAAGCTTAAGACAATTGGTTCTCCAGAGGTAACGACCCAGTCGATAATGACAATATTGGCTTGGTTGCGATCACACCAGGGTACCAGGCTTTGAGGCCTTAGACTGGACAGTCTCTCCAGATGAGGTAGCATTGCCCGCAGTACCATCTTTGGCAGCCTTGTCAATACTTCTAGCATTGCTAGCCTTGAAAGACAACATAACAACACCAGGAAGAAAGCGACCCCATCAGCCAGAGAACTGATACAAAGAAGCAAATGGACAACCTCAAGCGTCGCCATCAGCGGTACCGTCATCCTCCTTCTTTGCTTTCTTAGGACTAGCCTTGTCCTTGTCCGCACCGTCGCGATTCGCGTCTTTCTTTGCGCAGCCACGCTTCCGCTTCTCAGGGTAGGAGGAACAGAAGAATCGCCATCAGCAGGGGTAGCACCAGCATCAGATTCGAGCTTTCTGATTCTATGCTGGATTGCGTACACAGAACATTCTGTGGTTCATTTCATGTTAGAAACCGCGCTCCTGAAGTGCTTGTACCTATGATATGACTTATATGGATACTGACCTGGTCCCATGTATTTCGCAATGTAGGGTTAGACAGTAGAGAGTCAAAGGTAGTGTGCAATTGCTGAAGTTTATCAGGCGCAGCGCATGCGCCCTCTAGCTGCTCTGTAAGAGCAGCTTAATTCGCCCACAGAGCGAAC